AAAAAATAATTTACGGATTATTATTGGAGTCATCCGACATGATTGTAGATTAGATATAAAACTGTATATTAAAAATAAATATAATGATGACTTTTCTTTAGGGCAAGTAATAAAAAACAACAAAAACTTTGTTGAAAAACTTTTACACAAATAAATTCTCGACCAAAGACTTCAATATATATATAACAAGTGAATGGAAAAATCAATCGTAAATTTTTTGAGTGACTTTTTGCTAACTATTTGTTGTTGACTTTTAGAGGAAAACTTTGTTAAAGTAAATTAATTATTAATCGTTTTTCTTTATTAATAATAATTTTTTTTATTGTGTTAATAATCTTTTGAACGTAATTTACATTACATTTATTTTCACTCAACGCTGTATTGCATTCAGCGGTTGAAAGAGTTTTCTGCAGACAAATGCATTTTTACCATCATTTTTATCCCCGTATATACAGTGCCCTCAAAACAACTCTATCCTAATTATAATAACCAATTTGAATGGTTTTTATAACTCATATATCGAGTATTACAGCAATAGACCAGTAATAATGAACCACTGGTTTAATGTGTTCAAAAATGTTGTAATTTATCATGATTAAAGTAATTAAATTAAAATTTTCACATTCTTATCTGATGAATTTATTTGTTATCTTAATGCCTTTGAATTGTTTTAAAAACATGCATTTATTTGGTGTACACTATACCGGACGTATAGTGTATGTAATATGCGAAACCCAGTTGCCTCCCGGCGCTAATATTTACTTGAGTGAGTCAGTCAATCGATTGCATTCACACACAGCTATTGTGTAATATTTTTAGCATTAAATAAATATTAAAGTTTTGTTTAACCGAAAAACAAAATTATTGGTGAAACGACCTTCAAGTGTCTTTGGGAGACAACTGCCCCTAAGCTATAGAACAGTCTACCTGGATATTAGTCATCTAATTGCTCTCTCTCTCTCTCTCTCTCTCTCTCTCTCTCTCATCTCTTTTGCTCTCTTAAAAAGAGTTACATAATTATGAAATACTTATTATAATGATTATTGTTATAAATAAAACAGATTGATCTTTTTCTATAATGGAAAACATTATTTTAGTTTACATAAATAGGAAATTATTAAAAATAATATTTTATTTGGTTTATATATTTATATTTTCTAAAGTTTTATTTTTACCTACAAAAATTGTGCTTTATATAAATAGCATTTAATAAGAGTATGAATAATAATATAAATAATTAGTGGTTTATTTATTCAAAAGTAATTACAACACAATAATTAAGATTATATTTATATAATAATAATAATTACTTATTAATTAATTAACGCATTATTGAAACTGCAATTAAATTTACTTACATGTTATTATTCATAGATTTAAAAATAAATACATTATTTGATATTTTTGTGAATATGTTTTCCCAATAATATATTTATTAAGTCATAGAAATTTTGCAATAATTTTTTGTTACACCGTTTTAAATGGGAAATTATTTGACTATCTATCAAACTTGATTGCATACGAGCATAAATAATATACTGTTTGAATATTTCGTATTGTATGAGTGCATATAAATTGCACGTATTTTACCGATATGTGTGATTCATACACATTTAAATTATACGCTATTATTATTTTTAACCAGAATTAATCTGTTTTAGTAAAGTATATATTGTATGTCATTATTGCTTAAATCTGCTATTTCTGGTTAAAGTGATTGACAAACAAAACTATAATGTTTTCTATTGAACACTACTGTATGGTTACAACATCCAAACTTTATTTACGGTCCTTTTGCAGTATGCGAACAATTTTAATTAAACAAATTTTTCGATTGTTATTTAAAAAACAAAATTGCTTTATGAACCAAAAAGATTAATAAATTAAGTGCTATGAATAGGTTAGAAGTGGTGCATATTTTAAATAATTATGATTAATATATAATACACACATTATTTAGAATTATAATAATAATTTTATTTATAAATACTTAAACAATTAATGCTATGTTAAGTTTACTTTGATTTTCTATGCAAATAAATGAATTATAATGAATTACAATTTATGGATAAACAATTATTACACCACATGACTAATACCGTTAGTGAGTGGGACAGCACTACCGGCACCACCACCGGTGCCGCTCTCCTCCTCGATAACTTTCTCCATAATTCTAGCCCTGATATTCTTAAGCCTATGATATGTCATCTTAATGTGTATATCAATGCCGATAAAGCGTGAAAACACGGCCGACCAAAACCACAACAAACTCCACACCCGGTGAATAAAAAAGCCACCCGTCCTGTCCTCCTGACCCACTGTCCGGAGCGCCTGTTTTACAAACACGTGAGGTGTGGGCGCATAAAAGCGGGGCTCCATATGATAGGTCATGCGTGTGGACACATAGAAAGGCATCACCGACTGTATAATAATACCACTGGACCGATACTCCTCTTGCAGGGCCCGCGACATGTAGTCTACGTATACTTTGGTGGCCGAGTATAGGGATAGGAGGGGCACCGGGTATAGGGCCGAGAATGAGGACAGGTTAATGATAACGCCCCGACCCCTGCGCTCCATACGTGGCAACACTAGGGCTGTGAGTCGTGTGCACGAGACAATGTTGACATTGATCAAACTCATGATCACATGTGTCAGCCCCGGTATTTTGGTCATGTATTCGGGCTTTTCGTTGGGATAATTGGTGCCGACGTTGTTGACCAAAACGTGTATTTCGTCCAACGTGTCCAACATGTGGTCAATCTTGTCGTACGTCTCGTCGGAAGTGTCGAAGAAGTCTATGGCAAGTGTACGTACTTTTCGTGCGGACTTGTTTTTTACCTCGATGTCTGACTTAACTTTTTGCAGTTTTTCATCATTGCGACTTATAAGCAGTAGATTATAACTAAGAAAAATGTAAAATTAACATGTTAAATTATGCTATAAACTTTGATAATGTGCAAATGGGCTACCCTTTGGCTGCCAGTTGCTCGGCGTAGGCCAGACCAATGCCTTCGGTGCAGCCGGTGATCACAGCCCAGGTGTGGGGTCCGCCCCGCCATTTAAACTGCCGGGCCTTGTATTTGAGCCATAAATATATGATGAACCGCGCGATTATGAACAGTAGTGTAAATACTATAAATAGGATGCCTAGGAATTCACAATATAACCGCAGGTATTTATGGTTGATTAGACTCTCCATTATAATTAATATGTGTAATTAAAAGTTAATTGTTATAATTAAAATAGCTAAATATGATACAAATATTTTTATTTATTAAATATAAACATTCTTATTTAAATGTAATGTTTGTTTGTTTGAAATATATTCTTATATTTTATTGTCTTTCTTACCATGATTTTATAAATTGAAGGAAATTTGTTTAAAAATTGACAATTGATATTACAATTGCTGTTTTAAATG